TTGATGGCTTGTGGCTGGAGGTGCTGGGGCAGGACAGGACAACCCTCTGCAGATTTCAATCACTTTATTAAGAAAAAGGTGTATTACAACAACTCCCGAAGTACAGCTCTATACTCTAGTCTCTGGGTATCAACACGTTTTGAAAAGCACTTGGTTAAAAAGCAAAGTTGACATTAACATCATCCTGGCGAATAATGGTGTCATGTAGTAAAATGAACATTCAAATAAAGCAGAGCAGTGTCAAACCTTTGGCATCTGTCCCGCCGCAATGGCTCTCCCCAGCACGAGGCACAGGCTTTTATTGTTCTCAGCTGAGCTTCGCAAACTCAAGCCAAGGAGAATATCTGAAACTGCAGCTGCTCTGGGAGCAGGGGTGCTGTACCCAGGGGTGCTTCCCTCCCAGCCCCTCTGCCAGAGCCCTCCCCAGGGTCCCCAGCACAGCTCTGGCCAGGCAGAGGTGATGTCCCCCCTGAGTTCCGTGCCCGTTACACCCTCTGCAAGGACTGGGATGACAGCGACCTTCTGCACGACCTTGAAACACCCGAGCGAATACAGATGGTGCTCATCCCTGCAGGGCTGAGGGGCTGTGGCTCAGCACCCTGCCCACATCCCCCGGGGGGAAAGGGTCTGCTTTTCAGACATACAAAGATCGGGCCAATAGTCTCATTCCTGCCATAATTGCAATGACAGGAAAGGAGATCTTTTGTAGAAGCCACAAGATCCGTGAAATCTATCGGAAAGAGGCCGGAGGTGTCACCGCACCCCGTGGGGGACTGGGTGCCGCTTGGGTTTGTGTTGGGTGGGCTTCCCACACTCACACCGGCAGCTTCGCGACCCCGTTCCTGCCCGAAGGTGTGAGGGGAGGGAGGGTGAACTGATCTGGATGCGGTGACGGTACCGAGGGTCATGCTCCCTGTCCCCGTGCCCATGGGCACCCGCCCTCAGAGACCCGGCCGTGGGGAGCAAAGGGCAGCTTTAACCCGCGAGGAGACGTGGCGCTTTTATCTTTGTGCTTTTACAGCCCGCGTCGGCTGGCGGGATCCTCATCCATCCCAGCTTTCTCTTGCTCACCCAGCCTGGCACACCGGCACTGCTGATCTTATCCACAGCGTGAGGCAACCGGCGGATGTCAGGGAGTTTTCTCTCCCCTCCTATCGCGTTCCCCGTAGGACTTGGCAGCCAGGCACTGACAGTGCAAGAGGGTGACAAGAACAGGCGTGCACCGAGGCAGCTGTGGCGTCACTGCAGCGAGACGGGCTCGTCAGGGCTGCTGGGAAGCGAGGGCTGGTGTTCCCGGGGAAGGGCAGGGTGCCACGGCTTCGCCGGGGCAGCAGGAGCCGGTGCGCACGCCGCCGCCGAAACGTTCACCTCGGTCCCGAAAATGAAAGACCATCGGCGTGCTGCTGCCTTCCCGGTGGGGAGAGCGAGCTGGGCTGTGCCGCAGCGCTGCCCCTGCTCCGTCTCCTGGGGGCTGATCTGGGGGGACTCGTGCACGGGGATGTGCTGTGCAGAGCAGAGCAACCCCCGGCCTCCAGCCGCCCCAGGCAGGACGTTTCTTGCTGCGTCGCTGCCAGCTTTCCTGGGCACGCAGGAGAGACCACCCCGCAGCCCCTCCGCAGCAGCAGCCCCCGTGTAACGCCCCCCAGCTCTGCCCTGTGCCTAACTCCGCTTGCAGTAAGGCGGTTTGCAGAAAGCCTGGTGCTCTCCCTCGGGCAACGCTTCCCCAAGGCAGCAGGATTAGGCCCGGCCGCAGACAGGTCTCTGCGCGGCGCTGTGCAGCAGCGACCAAGGTCGTGCAGCCTCCCAGGGGGGTTTTGGGGTGCGGCCGCGCTCCTCAGGCCCTCGCAACAGCACCCTCGCAGCGGGGACGGCAAGGACGCAGCCAGGAGCGCTTATATGAGCCCCAGCCAACACATTCAGAAAAATATGGCTTTTTAATCAACAGGGTCAAGAGGGGGAACTTCCCCACCCATCAGCCCAGGGTTCAAATAAGTCCAGGGGAGCGTGCACCGTCACCGGGCCCGGCTCTGCCTCCCGGTGCCACCGGCTCCAGCGCAGGCACTGCTCCTGCCCACCCGCTGCTGCAGTTTGAGACATCGCTTCCTCAGAGAGCGTCAGGAGAAAGAATAAGGAAAAGAGAGATCAGCAAACCCAAGACATGAAATCCATGAGGCTCTGTAGGGCTGCAGAAAGAAACGGGGGTGCAGAGGAGAGGCGCCCGGCTGTTAGTCTGTCCGCAGACAGCTCTCAGCGCGGCGTGGTTTATACACAACAACCGAGCGTTATTGCTATGCATCCACTTCCAGTCTAATCATTAAGCTTCACGAGTCAACATTAAGCATTGCTTGCTCCATGCAGAGCACGTCGGCGCGGGCGGTTCCGCTCCTCGCTCTGCGCCCTTCGGACACCCAGGGAGCACGGCAGCCCTGCCTAAACGCACCCACAGATCTGGGGGGGGGGTGCTGCTGCACGAGCCCCCTGCCCAGGGAGAGGAGGGCAGGCCCTGCCCGGGCTCCTGCGGCTCCCTGGGGCTCGCTGTGGCTAACGGCAGCCCACGCATTAAAAAATAGGAAAGCTGTCTTTTTTGTTCCTTTTTTTTTGTTGTTGCTTTTTTGATCATTTTGATCATTTTATAGAAATACAAAGATTAAAATAATTTATCTCAACGTCATTTCTATTACAATCATACAGTGTTTTCCCTTCAAAACAAGTGCGTGTGTGTATATATATATATATATATGTAAGAGTATATATAGTATCTCTAGAGCTTCCCTCCCCCCCAAGAAAAGCAGCAGTGACTGAAGCAGGTACAGCACGCAGGAGCTGATCCTTCCCGCTCCAAGGCAACGGTGCCCAGGGAAAAGCACAGGGCTCGCCCTGACAACTCATTTCCAAGCACCCTGCACTGGCATGAAGGGCGGGAACTGGGGGGCTCCCTCTCCATCCCTTTGGGAAACACATCCCCCCCTTGCCTGCGCGTCCCAGGGCTGCGAGGCTCAGGGCCTGCCCAGCTGCCCGCAAGCACCGGGGAGCAACCGGAGTGGGGAGAAGCAATCAGGGGCCTGGAAATGAGATCAACTCCTTGAGCAAGCTGCTAATTAGTGGTGAAGAGGAAAGGATCCTGCAGCTCAGACAGGGTTGCTTCATTTACATACTAGGCACTAAAAATGATGATTGCTGGGAAGGTATTTACACAGAAGGATCATACCTCTCCCTCCCCTTTCCAATGCTCAGGTCAGTCATGAACATCATGATCTTCTCAAGGATTTCATAATAAAAACTCAATGTACGCTATCAGGATTGTCTAGGAAGGAGAGGGGGAAGCAGCTGTGCACGCCGCAGCGAAAGGAACAGCCAAACAGCGCAGGGACACATATCACCCTCTTGCGTGTTAAAAGAGAACAGAGACAAATCCTCAGCAGACCCCCCCCCCGCCCCCGAACCTGAGAGAAACAGCGATTTCCAAAGGCCAAACGGCGCCTCGCCTGCGTGACACCCCCGGGTGCTGCTTGTGCACAAACTGCCCCTTGCCACCCCGCTCTGCCTCGGCGGGGGTGGGCGACAGCAGGGCCCCCAGCATGCCCAGAGCGGGGGCAGAGCCTGCCTTGCACCCCTTCGCAGTGGGAAGGGGGTGGGAAGCATCCCGCAGCCGTATCTAGCGCCAGACTGGGGGCTTTTCCCCCTTGTGCATCTGCGCCCCCCGCACCCCCGCCTGCCTTGGGACGGCAGTTTGGGCAGGCGATGGTTCGCAGCGTTGCGGCCAGGGCATGGGGGGGGGGCCCTGCAGCCTTCTGCGGGGGGTGGCAGCTGGGGAGGGCAGGCGGGAGCTGGTGGGGCTCTGCCAGGCTCTGCGCTCCCAGGCAGAGGCTCTGGATGAGTCGGGGGGCTGCAAAAATTTCCTGCTCGAGCTTTGCCTTTGCCCCCAGGAGCTGCACATCTCTGCTGGGCTTCAGCTGGCGCGACCGCTCGCTGGGCCTCTGCCCGGGGGGACCTGCCCAGGTGCGGCTTTGCTGGGCTCCTTCCCAAACTCAGGGGTGGGTAACCACGGGAGCAGCTGGGGAGTGGGGGGGTCCCAACTCTCAAGGGTGCCCTGGGGGGAGCAGGAGGGGTCTTGCCCTCCAAAGCCTGACTATGCACATCACAGCCAAAGAAAAGGTACAAAAGCTGCTAATTGCTGTCCTGCTAGTGCAGCTCATGTGTTTAGGGGTTTCTTGTTACCAAAGAGCTGGCCTAGGGATGCTGAGAATCTCGTAAAAGCATTTTAATACAGTATATAAATATTGAACTACAAAAATAGACACCTCTGACTGCATGGGCACGCTGCGGGTGAGCTCGGGCAGGCTAAGCCCGACTGGTCTACAAGAGCGATGTTTTGGAGATGTTTCAAACTGAATCGGAAGGAAATGGGGTCTGATGGCGGCCCACGGCTTCCTCCTGCCCACGCCGGCAGCGGGGGGTCCCACGGGAGGCTGCTGCCCACGCAGCCAGGCAGGGTGCTGGCTGCGGGCAGGGGCCGGGGCTCCCGGCTGGGCATCGCCAGGGCTGGCAGCCAAAGCACCGGGGCAAAACCTGCCCCTTGGTATCACCCGCAGCAGCGCGGGTCCCGCTGGTGCCCGAGCAGTGAGACCTTCGCCCTGCCCGGCCACCGGAGCCCTCCTCTCTCTCCTCTCCTCTCCTCTCCTCTCCTCTCCTCTCCTCTCCTCTCCTCTCCTCTCCTCTCCTCTCCTCTCCTCTCCTCTCCTCTCCTCTCCTCTCCTCTCCTCTCCTCTCCTCTCCTCTCCTCTCCTCTCCTCTCCTCTCCTCTCCTCTCCTCTCCTCTCCTCTCCCTCTCCCTCTCCCTCTCCCTCTCCCTCTCCCTCTCCCTCTCCCTCTCCCTCTCCCTCTCCCTCTCCCTCTCCCTCTCCCTCTCCCTCTCCCTCTCCCTCTCCCTCTCCCTCTCCCTCTCCCTCTCCCTCTCCCTCTCCCTCTCCCTCTCCCTCTCCCTCTCCCTCTCCCTCTCCCTCTCCCTCTCCCTCTCCCTCTCCCTCTCCCTCTCCCTCTCCCTGCTCCCGCCGTTCCGCAGCACCCAGGGAATGGGTGCACAAAGCTGATGGTTTGGTTTGGAGCCCGGGTGAGGCTGCCCCGGCGGGGCGAAGGCTGCATGCCGCACAGCCGCCGTGCTGGGAGGGACGGGGGGGTGGTGGGGGAGGACCGGAGGGCTGCGACAAGCCCAGCCCTGGCTGTGGATGTGGCCGAGAACCAAAAGGCTGGTGCCCGGGGCGTGAGGCACAGCCCGGCTCCAGCAGCACGGGGAGCAGGGCTGCGGCTTCGTCCAAGTCCCGCGTGTCAGCGTAACGCCGGGGGAAACCCGTGTCAGAGGCGGCCGCACCGCCGCGCAGGGGAGCAAGGGCCTGCGACCTGGCTGGCACGGCTGCACCGTGCACCCACGGGACCCTCCGGCACCCGTGGGACCGACGATCACTCAGCTGCCTGCGTCCCCGAGGACCTTCCTGGTGACACCCGGGGCTCTCCCCAGCGCTGTGCTGGTGCCAGCGGTCGGGCTGAGCTCAGCCCGCTGTGCCGAGCCCCGTGCCGCACAGCCGCCTCGCTGCTGCACACCCACCTCCCGGCACCCCCGGCCAGGGAAAGCACCCAGCGGCGTCCGCTCCGCGGGGCGGCCACAGCAGCGCAGATCCCCTCGTTGCAGGAATGCTTGCTTGCTTTTTTCTCTCCTCGGAAGCTCAGGGCTGGCGCGCAGCCGTTTCCCCTCCGCAGACCCTGCGCTGGGTTGCCCGCCCGCCCCGCGGCACTGCCGGCAGCATCCCCGGCTCAGACCCCTCGGCAAAGGGGGGGATCCTCCCCGGCTGCCCGCGGGCAGGAGGTGCGAGCAGGGCATCCGCTTTCCGCTGCCCCTTCCCCTCCGAGGGGACGGGGGAAAGCAACCTTGGCCGGCGCCCACCCCGGTGCCGCCGGGCTCAGGCTTTCCCGCCTGCTCGGCTCGACGGCTACTCCTGGGCCCGGGGGGCACCGCGGGGGCCAGCCCCCTGCTTCGTGCCGGGCTCACCCTTGGCCGACCTGGCCCCGGCCACCGGCTCCTGCGCGGGCTGCCGGGGGGGCCTGTGCACCCGGGGGGCCGCGGCGGCACCGGCCGTGCCGTGGGCCTTGGCGGGGGGCTCCGGCGGCGGGAGCTGCGGCCGCGCCGTGTAGAGGAAGAGGGCCGGGTCGGGCATGGCGTCGTGCTCCTCCTGCACGGGGTCCCTGGGGCGAGCACCGTCCCCGGGCGGGCGCCGAGCGGGTGCCCTGTGGCCGCGGCGCCGGGGCCGGCCCTCGGGCGGGGGGTTGGCGGGGGGCTGCTCGGGGGGCGGCCGCCCGCCCGCCCGGGGGCCCGGCAGCCGCTGCGCGGTGGCGTGAAGCTGCAGGGAGAGGTAGGCGGCCGCCTCCGTCTGCTTCTGCAGCTCGGTGTCGAGGATGGTGACGCGGTGGCTCCGCCGCTTCAGCTCCTCCAGGAACCGGCGCTCCTTGGTGCGGAGGCTGGACCGCAGCGCGGCCACCAGCGTCTCCTTGTGCTGCAGCTCCTTGCGCAGCTCCGCGTTGTCCTTCTCCTTCTCCTGCAGCTGGGCCTCCATCGCCTGGCACTTCTCCTCCAGCTCCCGGTCCAGGACATCTGCAGGGGGGGCCAAGTCATGGAAAGGGGTCAGGGGAGGCAGCGGGGGCTCAGCCCGGCGCGGTGGCCTCAGCCCAAGCTCCCGGCGGGTCCCCGCACGCTCCCAGTGCCCTCCCGTGCCACCGAGGCTGCGCCGGTGCTTTTCGACAGGGCTCCACAACTCCCCATGGGGTGCCCGGGCGCGGGGTCCCTGCCAGCGCAGGCAGCCTCTCTCCATGCACCGCGGGCAGGCAGGGGAACCCCGACAGCCCCGCGCCGCCGAGCCGCGGGCACCGTGCGGTGTGGAACACCCGAACGCGGGGGGCGAAAGCAAAGGCGGTTTCCACAGAAGACACCGTTGCCATGGAACCTGCTGCCTCTGCCTCGCTGCAGCCTCGTGCTGCAGTTTTAAAATTTTCCTGGGTAACTAGCTTTTCACCCTAAAAGTGACTTTGAGTGTGTGCAGAGGGCACGGGGGAGCGTATGGGCTGGGAGAGAAAGGGAAATGGCAGCAGTGAAACGAGGGCTTGTCGAACCCAAGCCCCAAGACTCCACAGCCTGATGAGCGAGCATGGAGATGCTAATCCAGGATCACGGAGGCGCAGGGTGGTGCTTGGCAGGGCAGGAACCTCCACCCCAGGAGGGAGGAGTGGGCCGGGGGAGCCCGTCCCGGGGGGCAGGATGGCCAGGCAGCCAGCCCTCCCCCGCTGCTGTGTGCTCACCGCGCCGTCACCTCCGGTTTGTGCCCTGTTCCTCTTCCTGCTCCTGCCAGCAGCTGACTGCCAGCGACGGGGCACAGTCGGGACTTGTTAAACCAGAGGTGCTGCGTCAAGCGTCAGGTTCCCCACGGCTCCCACCGCCCTCCCTGCCCTTCCCACACCTCAGTGGGTGACAGACACCCTCCCTGCCCCGGCCCTTCTGAGTCACAGCACAGGCACCCAAGAAAGTGACTTCATGTGGGGCCTTGCACGTTGCTCCTGCACAGCCTGCACTGCTCTGGCCAGCCTGCGTGGGCTCTCTTCCACCCACCCGACGGAGGATAACACCTGCCTGACATCCATCCACCCATCCACCCATCCACCCATCCATCCATCCCTCCATCCCTCCATCCATCCACCCATCCACCCATCCACCCACCCATCCACCCATCCATCCATCCATCCATCCATCCATCCATCCATCCATCCATCCATCCATCCATCCATCCATCCATCCATCCATCCATCCATCCATCCATCCATCCATCCATCCATCCATCCATCCATCCATCCCTCCATCCATCCATCCATCCCACGCTCCACCCATCCTTCCTCCCTCCCACCCACCACAGTGGCATCAAGAGGCTGCATTGAGTAAACGCCTGTAGAGCAATCTGAATAACAAAACTTTGCGTTTCCTCAGTCCCTTCTGCCTGATGACCTTGTACGGCTGGAGGAGGTGTGGGATGGAGGGGAAGCACTGCAGCCACAGCCCCGGCAGCCCTGGCTGCAAGCTCCTGCACCCAGCCTTTGGTGGGGCGCAGGGAGGGGAGTGAAGTGAACGCTCCCCGCCGAGGCTGGCACCCGCCGGCACTCACCCCTGCCTGCCCAGGCCTGCTCCCACTGCCTGCAATAATCTCTGCTTTTTACGATATGATTTGCAACTGCTTTATAGCCTCAGCTCCTAAGTGTCTTTTGCAGAGGAAAAATGCTTCATAATGAGATCTTAAGGGAGGCAGCTGCACACAGTAATTATTACATGAGTGGCATTTGAAGAGCAATCATTTGATGGCATCTTAAATTAGGCAGTTGCCCCATAAACATGGCAAATGTGATCCTACTCTTCGTAAGCTGTTAAAAGGCTGAAGGATGGGCAGAGACCTGTGGGTGGGACTCTCCGCACGTTATGGTCTGTGAGGCACTGATGGCACCGGGTGGGTGGGACACCAGACCCCTCCCCGAGCAGTGAGCCCACCCGCATGGGGAAGGGACCCTGGGCTCAGGGAGGCCAGGTGGGAATGGGGGTCTGCTGGGGCCTGGGGCGAGCTGAGAGGGGCTGGGTGTGCACTGCCCACGGCGCACCCCCCTCCTGGGGACAGCCCCGGGGCTGGGACTGTCAAATCCTGCTGCGGCCCGCCCTGGTGCTGAGTGAGGGTGCTGCCGAGGGCCACGAACCCCACAGCCCCGGTGAGCATAGCCCCATGCCCACCCTGGCACTGAGAATGAAGCGCAGGCTGGAGCTCGGCGCCAGGGACCATGCCCCGGCAGCACCAGGGAGGAGTTTCAGCTTCATCCCTGGGATGGAGGAGGAAGAGGAGCCGGGCTGCTCACAGAGCATCCTCCGCCGCCCGCAGGTGCCCGGGCACCGCTGCCTGCCCCTGCCTGCCCCAGGTGCTGTTGGGGATGGGGATGTGTCGCATGGAGCCCTGTGGTGGCATTTGCTGCCCCGCGGGAGCAGCACGGAGAGGGTGGTCTCAGCCTGTGGTCCAGAGTCCACTGCCCGGAGAGCTGCCCAACGCATCCCGCCCCGGGGGGGGGGGGGGCCGAGCTGGCCAGGCTCTGCCCAGGGTCAGGGCTGCGGGCACATGCGTGTGTGTCAACGTGCGTGCGAGATGCGGGGAGTGGCTGCGGGGTGCTCAGGGGAGTGGGGAGCAGCGCCCAGCCACATGCTGGCAGCGGGACGCTGTGCCTGGGGTGCCCCCGCTCCACCGACGTGTCCCCCCTGGGCACCCCTTGCTGGAGGAGAGGGGGTGAAATCAGGGGGAGCTCAGCGCCAGCTCCCCGTCCCCGTGTCCCCTGGCTCAGGCTTTCATTTGAAAACTTGCCCTCAGCCACCACGTCGCCGGGGCCAGCGCCGACCGATGCCAGAGCCCCGTGCCATGGGGCCCTGCCCGCGGCAGCCGCGGGACGGGGAAATTGCCCGTGGGTTTCCGCTCACCCCCAGCCCCTCCTGCCTGTCCCAGGGGGATGAGGCTGCCTTTGGGCAGGAGAAGCTTTGCCAGGGCTCTTCAGCCGGGCAGGACTGCGGGTCCCAGCCCCAGGGCCACCCCAGGAGGGGCTGCAGGACACAGGGCTGGGCGGCCCGAGGGGACAGCGCGTTGTGGAATGCCTTTTGGGGCAGCTCTCTGCTGCTGCTCCCAAGCCTGGGATGGTGCCTGGAGCTTGAAGACATTTTTCATGCACCAAGACACTTCTCCCCTTTATTTTGGAGTGTGAAAAACTATCTTGTGGGCAAACCTGACTGATTAATGAACCAAGTGCCAGGAGATTTTTTGAATCAGCATCTGGATTGCAACAGGTGAGTGGAGCTGGAAGTGGGGCTGATAATGTCCTTGTTGGCTTTTCCCTGGGGCTGAAGGGTTTGCAGGCTTTGAGTCCTGCCCTGGGGGTCTCTGAGCTGCCCCTGGGGGGGCTGTGGTGGTGGGAGGGGTGTCTGTGTCAGGGCATTAGCAAAGCCAACCCAGACGTGCTGGCTTTCACATGCAAAACCTTCCTAGGTGGCTGCCAGGGTATTTAATGGGGCTGTGGAGAGGTTGTGAATGTGCTGCAGGCTCCTGGGGTGGCCCCCCTACCCACACGGTGCTCCCCCTTATCTCCTGCACAGACCTGTGCTCTTACCTTGCTGGCGGGCTTCCAGCTCTTTTATTTCCAGGTCATGGGTGAGCTCTGGAAGAGAAATCCAAAAGGGCTGAGAAGGAGCATCCCGCCTGTCCCGCTGCGTCCCCCCCCGTCCCCCGCTGCGGCTGCTGGGGTGCTGGCAATCACCGCGGCTGCGGTGCTGCCTCTGCCCGGCCCACGGCCTGAGTGGGGCCATCTCGGAGCACCAGCCACAGGCTGAGCCAAAAATAGATCATTCCGGCAATTTCTACGTTACTAAGCGTCCTCGGGATCTGGCATCTGCCACGGGTCCTGCCCCACAGCGGAGCGAGAGCCTCTGTTTCTCCAGCAATGCCTTTTCTTTTTCTCAGAGAGCTGCTGAACCATTTTCAGTGCTTTAAATCAGGACAAAGAGCAGAGCAACGGATTGAAAATAGACCAAAGTGTAAGCTGCCGCCCAAAATATTTCAGAATTTACTGCTCCCAGGCCGCTCTCTGCCTCTGCACACGACGCACGCGGGCCGGCCTCGACCCCGCGCCACGTGCCCGCAGAGGGACGCTGCCCTGCGGCCCGCGGGACGTGGCCCCCGCCGCCCGGGGGGCTCCTCGGGGCTGCTGGGCTCCGACAGCCCACGCCGGGGCTGCAGCCTCGGCCACCACGGAGCCCCTGCAGCCGGCCCCTCACCCGCTGCGGCAGGGCCGGGGTGCAGGCAGAGCTGCCCGTGCCCCCGCTGCACCCACAGCCCTGACACACTGCCTGCACCCTGCCTGCTCCCTGCCTGCACCCTGCCTGCTCCCTGCCTGCTCCCTGCCTGCACCCTGCCTGCACACTGCCTGTACACTGCCTGCTCCCTGCCTGCACCCTGCCTGCACCCTGCCTGCTCCCTGCCTGCTCCCTGCCTGCACCCTGCCTGCTCCCTGCCTGCACTGCCTGCACCCTGCCTGCTCCCTGCCTGCACTGCCTGCACCCTGCCTGCACTGCCTGCACCCTGCCTGCACCCTGCCTGCACCCTGCCTGCACTGCCTGCACCCTGCCTGCTCCCTGCCTGCACCCTGCCTGCTCCCTGCCTGCACTGCCTGCTCCCTGCCTAGCCCCAGGCTACAAAACCAGCTCACAAAAGGCAGGAGAGAGGGAGCTCAGGGACTCTGGAGTTCCCTTTACCCTGCACACTTTCACAATCTCTTGAATTAATTATCACAGCCCACCAACCCACCAGCAGCTGGGAGAGGAGGGGCAGCAGCAGCATTCAGTTGTTTTGGGGCTTTTTTTTTTTTTATTTTTTTTTTCCCCTGAAAATGAGTTCAAATGGTTAATCTTTGCCCTACATTTTTCTTTTAATCTGCTTTCATGTTGACTCTAATCCTCATCACTGCCACCCTTCTGAAACGAAACGCTTGGCTCAGGCTGCTCTGCCCGTCTGCCTCGGAAAACAAATCTGTAGTGAGAAGGCAGAAGTAACCGAGAACGTAATGCAGTTTCTGGAAAGCTTTCAGCGCTCCCGGCTGCCCCACTGCAAATCAACAGCAACTGTGTTATTCTTCTGAAGCTAAAATAATAGGTTTGGAGCCTCAGATATATTTCAAATGAAAACCAAAGCCCATTCCCAAAGGAGACATCGCCTTGCTGGGCGAGTGCAGGGCTCGGGGGTGATGCACAGCCCGGGGTCCCGGCTTCGGCGCTGGAGCCACGGGGGCTGGTGGGAACCTGCCCCGGTACCGTCCCCACGACCCCCGAGGGGCAAATCCAGGGGAGATCACCCTGCGGGGCTCCCAGGCGGTCTCGGCCTCCGCGGGACGGACCCAGCACTTCTGCAGCCGCTGGCCCCCGGCTGCTGCCAGCTCCCACCGCTCTCCCGCTCGGGCCCGGTGACTCCGGGGGGTCCCCTGGGCCGGGCAGGGGACGGGGCACTGCCGGGTGATGCACTTCAGCTTGCCTGGCACAGGAGGTGGCTGAGGAGGGCTCTGTATTCCCTGCCGTGGGCTAGGACCCACGGGGCTGCCCCACAGGAGCCCCAAGTGACCCTCTTGGAGGTGGCTACGTGCCCCTTGGGGGGGTCAGGTGCTTGCAGGCAAGCTAGAAATGGGTTTATTTAAGACACAGCTCCCTGGGAGGCCCGTCCTGGTGCCCCGAGGGGACCGTTGGCACGGCCAGCCCCCCCCAGGCCAGCTTTGCTATGCACCGCCTGCCCGCAGGGATCCCCCCAAACCCCGCTCTGCTCCCGGCACCGGCCGGCCCTCCGGCGCCCCACTAACACCGCTGAGCAGGCTAATTATTGCCACCAGGCCTGAGCTCATCTTCCAGCAAAAGGAGAAAAAGAAGAGTCAGAGGAATCTATTGCTATTTCTGCTGCGCTGATACCTCGCAAATAAAACGGGAGTGGGAGGGAAGCCAACTCTCCTCTGTAACGCGAGGCTCGTTCCAATAAATGAAGCATGCAGCTCTGGGCTGCGTTACCTTCCTGTAAAGCCTAAAACTGGGAACGCTGGGCTGGGGGGGTCTGCTGGGGCCCTGGTATTGCCCAGAGCAGCCGCCCCCTCCTCCTGCCAGCCTGCACGAAGGGCACGAGGCTGCGGGGGCTCGCGGGGGCTCAGCACACGGATGCTCCATCCCGCTTTCAGCTCTTGCTGCCGGCCCAGCAGCAGCCCCTGGGGGCTCCCGGGATGTGGGGTGCAGCCAGCGGGAGCTGCCCTGGGGCCACAGGCACCAAACCCGGGGGTTTATTTACTTGGACTTGGTCCCTTCGGAACACGGCTGTTCTGCTGCTGGATCCAGGATGGATCCAGCGCCGCGGGCTTGCTGCGGGCCTCCCCCTGGGATTCCTCAGCTCCCCCCCATGGAAAGTGCTGCTGCCGGAGCTTCTCGGGGCTGAGTAGGTGGCAGCTGGGAAAGGGAGCTCTGCAGAAGGGTGGGCACTTCCAGCGGTGGGGCCTCGGGGAGGCCGAGGGGACGGTACAAAAGTCGAAGGTCGGAAACAAGAGCTCCAGGGCAGGCGGTGCAGCTCCGCAGGGCCACGGCGGGGGACGCGCCGACTTACCGGCGCCGCTTCCCTGGTGCAAACAGCCCCACCAGATAACGGCATTCACACCGTCAGCAAAGTCACCTTAACACTAACAGGGGTTTGTCCCCAGTGCTCCCAGCAGACAGGCGTTGCAGAATCACACACCTCGCAGGCGAGGATGTGCCTCCCCGGCTCAGACAGTGCTGGCATTCGGGCCGTGCTGGGAAGGAGATGGCTAATAGCCAACTGTGCAACGGGCCCACCTCTGCCCTTGGGGACTCCGAGCCCCCCAGCCTGATTTAGGCACGAGAACTCCGCTGTCTCGCCTATCTGGAGAGGCCGTAGATGAAGCCATTAAAACAATGAAACAGAACAGCAAAAGCTTGGAAAGGGTGGGGGAAAATAGACAATTTTAACAATGCAGACATGTCTCTGTTTCCCAGGAATCGGGGAGGATGAGAGGCTGGGAGACAGGGAGTAATTAGCTACGGCTGAATTATTAATGAGAGCGATGGCACAAGTTGGAATGTGTCTCAGTGGCGGGCAGGAGGCTGGGAGCCGTGGCTCTTGCTGAAGGGGAGGGTGGGGGGCTGGCAGCCGTGCGCCCCACAGCCGGGTCAGGTCCCCGAGCCCCGCACCAGGCTCATGGCTGTGCTTCCCGGGGACAGACAGACCCCGGCCGTGGGTCTGCCAGGCTGCAGGGCCTGCCGTGACCCGGGGCAGCCCCGTGCCCCCTTCCCGGGGGGCTCCTGGTGACAGCCCCCAACCTCGGGAAAGGCTGGGAGGCTGCAGCCTCTGCGTGAGGGGCTGCGGGGGGGGCCTGTCAGGGGAAGGGGTGCTGGTGCTGCTGGTGCTGCTGGTGCTGCTGGTGCTGCTGGTGCTGCGGGCGTTAGTGCGCGTTCAGCACCGCAGCGGTAAGGCACGGCCAGGGGTTACTGACACTGGTGCCAGCGCCCGGCTGCTCTGGGCTGGGCCGGCAGGAAGGGCACGGATTTCACCTCTCTGTGTGTAAGAGAACAGAGAGTAACAAAATACAAACAAGAAAATCACATTTCCTCCTGTTCTGAAAGCGGCCTTGGCATGGTCTCATACGCCCATTATGGGCGGTGTTCAACCCTCTTCTTTCCCCATGTCTACTGGCACCTGGGACAAATGTCAAATTACTTTTACATTTTCATAATCAAAATGCCTTTGTGGGCACAGACCGTGGGAGGAAAGGCAGGACCATCTTGCTGGCTAACGCTGTGTTTTTCCTTTTCCTTACACCACTGAATCCCTCAGGGTAGCGACTACTGCAGCCAAACCACTGCAAGGTGCAGGAACACGCAGCTGCGGAGAGTGCTGAGCTACCAGGGCTAATCCTCGTTCAGAAGCGTGCCCTGAGCACGGCATGAAAACAAAGGGAGCGGGTTTTAATGATGGATTATCAACACAGACTCCTGTCTTACCGCCTGCCCCGCCAGCTGATGCCCAGAATAAAAATCGCTCTGGTTCTTCAGGGTTGCAGCTGGAAGCTGCTGGCACCCACGCGCAGAGGAGCGGTTTCAGAGGGTTTGACCCACGCCAGATTCGGGGGCCGCACAGCGTGGTCTGGGGAAGGGCTGGTGGCGCCCGGGCCGGGGGTGGAGGCTGAAGGGGATGGGGATCTCCCCCGATCCCACCTCGAGCAGGATCCCCCGCGGCTGGGTGACCGTCTCCTCCACGTCCCACTGAACGCCGGTGCGAGCTCCCACACGGAACCGGCCCCGGGCCCCGCGGTGCCCGCAGGAGCTTTCCTGCCCAAGCGCTGCTCCCGCGTGCCACGGCCGCCCCGACGCCCACCTGAGCAGTGCTTCTGCAAGCGGAGGATCTCCAGGTGCAGGTCATGGAGCAGCTCCATCTGCTCCTTCTTCAGGAAGGCGATGTGCCGCTGCACGCTCTGGATCTGGTGCTCCAGGGACACGGTCTCCATCGCAACCGAATTCACGGTCCAGGCCTGCGGGGAGCGGAGACGGCTCGTGACCAGACGCGCAGCAGCACGCCGGGCTGCCCGGAGCCCTTGCGAGGGGCAGAGCCCCCCGGGTGCAGGGTGGGCGACTGCTCTCCTCACCCCCTCCACGGGGCCGCGGCTGTGGGCGAAGCAGCTCGGCTCAGCAGACCCCCGGGGATGGCCCCCCAGCCGTCCCACCGCCCCCGCGCCTCCCGGGGCCGGCTCCCGTCCTGCCTGCGCTCGGGCTGGGAGGCTCAGGGGCTGCACGAGCAGAAAGCGCTGCCGCACGGACCCTGGCACCGCAACGGCTCGTTTCTATTTTGAATTTAGCCCTAGGAAATGTTTTATCACTGAGCAGGATTGCATCTGGGACAGGATTGCTCCCTGCAGTCCCCAGGTGGGAGTTGCACCAGAGATGATTTTGGCTCTCACTTGACAAGCCACACATTACGAAGCAGCAACTGCAGCAAGAGATCTAACACATGAAAAATACAATATGCTCCGTCTAACCCCATCAGTGATACGTGGCGAGGAGAGTCATGTTGTCTTCCAGAAGAAGAAACGTCTTCCCTGGTAATTCGCCTGGCAGACGAGAGCTGCTGTCGGTGCTGCGCCGGGCGGCTCAGCCCGCGTCGGGGTCCGTCACCACGTGTTAATTAATGGCTTCAGCCAAGCAGCGGTGCGAGCTGCCTACCTGCGTCGCTGCACCCGGGAGATAAAAATAAACCCCTGAAAGAAGCCTTAATCCTGGGAAATACCATTTCGTGTGGCTGTGGGATCTGTCCTCACCCCCCGCGCCCAGCCCGGAGCCGGGGGGAAGCCACAGCAAGGCGAGGAGCACTGCCACAGCCCGCGCGGGCTGGGCCCCAGGGACCCGCTTCCATTCCCTCCTTCATCCACGGCTGACTTCACTTTGCTCCCTACAGAAACTTCAGCGCTGAGTGAGCGCTTCGGCCCGTGGTTACGGCACGCCCAGCTGGGTAACGGAGTACATTTAAAGATAATTCCCACAACCAAAAATCGAATCAAACCGTATTTAAGCTCGATTCCACGGTAAGCGATCTGGGCAGTGCCTTGAGTTCAAGGCTTTGCTCCTGCCAAAGCCTCTCCAGATTCGTGAAATCCTTAAAGCCAGGTCTCCGTGTTCCTACTATGTCATGAAGCGGGGATGCAATGAGGCTCCGGAACTAACGGGTTCGGGGGCTGCCCCAGCCGTCCCCCCGCCGTGGGGCAGAACACCCCCCTGCAAGGGGCTGGTGCTGCTCCACCTCCTGGGGGGCTGCGGGGGGGAGCTCTGCTCTGCTGCACCCCCTGCAAGCCCAGCCACCGGCCTGGCTTCCACAGCGGGTTTCTCGGATGCAATGCCGTCGTGGTTGTCCCCGCTTGAGCGGTCAGACCAAGCTGGGCCAGGGGGCTGGGGGCCGGGGGCTGGCCTGGCCGTCCCCCCCGCAGGGCTGGCTCGGGGCTCCCACCGTGGGCTCTGCAGCCTGGGGGTGCGTCTGCCCACGGGGGCTCTGCGTAAAGCTGAAAATAGGAATATTGGGTGATGGGAACCGGCTTTGGTGTATATGGTGGGTTGTCACTGGGGTTTTTCTCATGTCCCAGGGAGCCATTTCTGGAGGCAAAATAATGAAATTTTGAGTCTTAGGGTGGGTCTGCTATTGAGGGATAGAAATGCTCCAAACATTCACCCCATGAATGTGATGGGAAAACGTGAAAAATGCTGGTGTGATACATAAAAGCAACAGCTACAGAGGTCCTGCTTCTCATTTAAGGTGCTTATTGCGGGAGGTAGGATTTATACCAGCTTACAGCTTCCCTGCGGAACAATGTCATATAGGTGAAAATAGCCCTGGAGCAGCCTGCTCAGCCCTGCCCGGCTGAAGATAAAGTGTGTTCCGTGCAAGTCAACCACAGGCACTTCCAGGGCCCCCAGGGGCTGTCAGATCCTCAGTGTTGGGCATTTGGAAATGCAACCAGGGGAAAAAAATAAAATCTAGCTCTAGACTTCACTTCCTGATCATTCCCCGTCTTCTGAGTGGCAAGATGATGATTTTTAAGTCTTGTAAGTCACCTTGCCTTCCTGATGGCACTGTAATTGATAGCCAAGAGAGCTGGCCTTCGTTCTTTGTAGTGTAAGAGCTGGTGAGGATGGGGGTTTGTTAAAGGTGTGATGGGGGCACGTTTACTCGTGCCGGTGCAGCAGTTATGGAAGTTATCTGGCATCTGCCATGGGCTAGGAATACAAATCATGCTACGGCATATCCTGCCCCGGCCGCCCTGGCTGTGGGGGGGCTGTGGACGCGCGATGTGCTGGGCTCTGGAGCAGCTTCTGGATGGGAGTTGTGGCACCTCATCTCCAGAAATGTCAGAAAGTAGGTTGGACAAAGCCCAGGGGATACGTACTGCTATTTTCAAGCACTTTGTTCTGTCTAGTTGCAATATCTTTAGCAGAAATGGCTGCAAATTTTCCATTGAACTTTCCCTTCTCCCTTTAAGGAAGAAATTACCCTTTTTTACCAATGAAAATATTTTCCTTTAAAAATAAATAGTTGATAAATACCAAGCCGTAAAGGAAGTCAAAGAAAAAAAAATTCTGGACTTGAGATCTGTTTGCTGTCTCTGATTTGGAAGATAAAAAGCATGCATAATCTACCTGTGTACAGGGGGGGAAAAAAAAAGTCTGTTTCCAAAGTTGCAATGGGAAAGCCTTAGTGGGTTTGGATCGGCTTTGCCTGTCCAATGCGACTTTCACCGTTTCCCTTGAGAAACAGCTCCCAGCTTGTGGCAGGAACATCAGAGGTGCTGTGTCTGGGGGAGCGCACCTCGTTTTGTCCCTGCACGAAACGCCCGCCAGCACGGGGGGCCAGGGGGGGCCGGGGCAGCGGCTGCTGTCGCAGGGATGCGGGGACGTCGCCAGCAACGGCCGTGCTGCTGCTGGGGGCAGCGACGGGGGGCACATCCCTGCTGGGGGCAACGATGGGGGGGCACATCCCTGCTGGGGGCAGCGATGGGGGGGCACATCCCTGCTGGGGGCAGCGACGGGGGGGGCACATCCCTGCTGGGGGCAGCGATGGGGGGGCACATCCCTGCTGGGGGCAGCGACGGGGGGCACATCCCTGCTGGGGGCAGCGATGGGGGGGCACATCCCTGCTGGGGGCAGCGACGGGGGGGGCACATCCCTGCTGGGGGCAGCAATGGGGGGGCACATCCCTGCTGGGGGCAGCGATGGGGGGGGCACATCCCTGCTGGGGGCAGCGACGGGGGGCACATCCCTGCTGGGGGCAGCGATGGGGGGCACATCCCTGCTGGGGGCAGCGACGGGGGGCACATCCCTGCCGGGGCTCTGCAAGAGCCTGGAGCTCTTAACAAAGCTGCAAGTTAGCGCCGGGCTCCAGCAGCAGCTCTGCCCTGCTCGAGTGCCCTCTCCACTCTGTGCCCACCCGCTCCCCACAGAGGGATTCAGGACCAAACTCCCAACACCACTGTCCTCCCGCCGTCACGGCACACAGGGGGAGGTGGCAGCAGCGTTTGGAGCCTTTCGTTTGGCGCGCGCCTTTGGTCCTTCCACACAGCACAGTCACTCGGGAGGTGTTGGGACTTAACAGGGATTAGCTGCTGCTGCTGGCTGACCCAACAACGCTTTACAGGGCCACTGCATCTCCCACCTGGTAACGCCCAAGCTCCCCACGTGGAGGGCCCCAGCAAGCACCGGTGACCGTATTTCCACGGGGTGAAGCAAGGCAGGAACCTCCTCCACCCTGTGCCAGAGACACGAGAGCCAAAGCAGAGTGATCAGGACTCACTCCCGGGGGTGCTAGGCACCAGCTCCCCGCGTCCCGGCCCCGTGAGCACGGCTCCAGCAGGATGGTTGTACTGCAGCACGTAGGGATGGGGTTGGAAGGTCCCAGCACCGATCCCTGCCTTGCTGCTGTAGGGGTTACTTTTCTTTTCCAGACTAGTTCTAGCTTGCCAAAGCAACTGGTGGTGGAAGCCTGCTCAGTGAGCGTGCACTCTGCGGCTTTGAGGAGTTATGTATGAGGTTACAGCTCTAGAAAGCAACGTCATTCATAATAAAAGCCAAGGGTAAGTGATAGTCCTCTTTAGCTTGAAGGATGCTCTGTGCCCTTGTGCTTCTGACAGTTGCATGCATACACCCGCACAGAGCGGGAAAGGAGGCAGCAACCAGCTTAACAGTGGTTTTTGCCCCTGTTCAATGGTGACACCCAGAGCCTGAGCTGGCCCCTTCTCCCTGCAGGGCTGTAGCTGAACGGCTGACTCTGGTTTTGGAGACTGGACATCCAAGGGGCTCTGCTCCACCACCAAGAGCTTTCCAGGAACAAGTTTCCCTCTCTCTCCACCCAAGGATTTGAGCACAGGACTCCCAGGAGTTGCAGGACAGCCCTCAGCAGGGCACTTGGGACCAGATCTTTAGCTTTAAAAATGCACTTCTAATATCTTAGCCCTCAACTGCAAATTTGCTCAGAGACACTGCAAAAGCTTAGCTGGTAAAGTGCCGGGTAACAGAGGAGGTTTCTGGGCTGCTGAGCAGAAGCAGCTCACGGCAGCCTGCGTGAGTGCGACCCACGAACGTGGACATGGGGGGACATGCACCAGGAATCGGTGGGCACGCTCCAGAGCGGGCCTTGGAGAGCCTCTGCGGCAGGACGAGCTTCCCTGCTCTGCTCGGCCGCCCCCCGCCCGCTCCCTCGGCGGGGGCTCCCCCAAACCCGGGCTGGGGGCTGGCACCCGGCCTCGGCTCCGGCGTGGGGCGCAGCGGCGATGGGCTTGGTCCCCTGCAACTCCCCACGTCGTGTGGTTGTGGGCACAGTCTCAGCTTCCTGGGGGCTTGCCCCTGCCCCTAAAACACATTTTTTTTTTTCCTCACTTCTTATCTTTTCACTATGTGACTACAGTCTTTGGGACAAGGCACGGTGGGAGTCCTGAGCTCAGCTGGGTGTTTCAAATTGCCATCAGACGATCTCAGCGAGATTCACAATTTCATCCCAATTTACCAGAATTCTTATTTCGCAAAACAACTGAAGCAGCCTCTTGAAGTAGCTACAATGACCAATTTAGTTGCAAGTCTACGAAGAGCTGATTTCCTTTGCACAGACAGATTGTTTGAGAATTTGCTTCCAGGGCAAAACTATGTTGAAGTCTGTTGTTTAATGACAATCAGGATCCCAAGACTTTGGCCTGAGAAAAACCCTCCGTTCCTGATGATGCATTTCAAAGGCAGATACGGTATTGCATGTACACGTACCCCAGCACAAACACCGTCAC